TGGTGTGATTTTCAAAAAAAAAATCATTAATTCTAATTCTTACATTGGATTTGACCCAAATTTGACTTTCTATATTAGATGAGGCATCCAAAACTCACAGGAAAGACTTTTGGAGATATTCGTTCTATTGTCGATAGCAATGACAAGCAACGCTTTACTTTAATCCAAGAAATACAGGAAAATGGCATGCCTGTATGGCTGATACGAGCAAACCAAGGACACTCTATGGAGGTACTTTACTCGAATGTTTAATTTTTTACATCATTACCCTAAAGTTTCATTAAGATACATCGATGATCAAGGTGAAAGAGTTGGAACTTGAAAAAATCACGGATCCAGCACAAATTCCGGAGGTGATACATGGGACCTATGTACGCTACTGGAAGAATATAAGTAAATTGTTTATTTGATGTGTTAGTCGATTCTAGTTTTCTATTTTATCTTTGTACATTTATTTATCATGCATTATCCATTTCATCCATTCGCTAACAAATATGCTACGCGCGTAATGAAGGGTCTCAAGGGCTTTCCAAGATGAATCGCAATCATATTCATTGTGCAACCGGACGATTCGGGGATTCGGGCGTCAAAAGTGGTAATTATAGATTATGACCGGGTACCGTGTACAACTAGTACGAGAAGAATCTGTTATCTAATATCATTTCCACTTTCAAATTCATGTATCAAACATATACTTTAGGCATGAGAAAAAATTGCGATCTGTTCATCTATATTAATGTTGCAAGAGCAATGGAAGGTTCGCATGAAACAAACAATTTCATCTCCTTTATCAGATCACTTATCATTGTCGCTAAAAAATACACTTATTTATACAAGATGGTATCGAATTCTATCGATCTGCCAATGGAGTGATATTAACCTCAGGTGTTGGTGGATTTTTGAATCCAAAATACTTTTTAAAGGTCGTAGATATGAATGAGAATGATCTAATCTCTCAGGATGTTTGAAACGGTTATGTGTGTATTATGTAAAATGTTTCCGTTACATCTGATTGGTCAATAAAATCGATTATCAGATACAGAAATTACCTCTTTCTTCTTACCAAGCAAATAAACG